AACTGAGAGAAGTTTCAGCTTGTTGCAATCTGCAATCCTCGCTCCTAAATGCTACAAAATCCCCCTAAATGTTACTCAGTGTTCCTTTAAACACGCCACAAGATACAAATACACAGCAGTGTGAAGTATAAAGTGTTTTAGTTCAGTCTGACAACTGCTGAAAAAAGAGCTTAGATTTTCACCATAAATAGATCCTACTGTAAATGATCTTTTTAGAGCCTAGCAGGTAGCAAGGGTAGTTTTTGCAATTTGCTTGTATTGCATGATTCAGTTAAGTTATAATCCAGATCAAAATTGTTTCAGTCCAATTTAAAGGAACAACAAAACAGGAGGTTTCAAACACAAGTCAGCAATGAAGAAAACCGCATAACAGCAAACATGAATGTAAACAGTGAGCGACTTTATTCATTGAAGTGGCTTTTCAAATTTTTCATGGGGATGGACATGCATTTAACACTTTGACACTTCTCCCACCAAATTTGCTCATGTATGCAGGTTTTTTTTACTGTGGGAAAACTCGTTATAGATAGGTGATAGACTGCTCTCCCATTGCCAGTAGACCAGTATGACTTTGGCTTTTTTTCTTGGTGTGTCTTGTTGGGAAGACAGGTTAGTCAACAGTAGAAAGCAGCATCGAGGCCAGTGGGCAGTGGTTACTTCTTTTTTGTATCTCTTACTTACTCAGTTTCTCTCTCAAACTCGGTGCTGACTAAATTTTGAACAATGTTTGAGTCCTTCTTGGGGGGCCTCCCTGGTGTAGTGGTTAGAGCACTCATCCTCCATGCGGACGGTCCAGGGCTCAAATCCTGCTGGGGTCGACGTCAGCAAAGGCATGTGGTCACAAGAGGCTCCCACCGCCGAATCAAACAGGATCGGATTCCCCAAGGAGGCTGCTGGATAAGAGAGTAACTCTTGAATCTGTGCCAAGTCCTCAACGAGGACACGTCTCAAGCCCATTGTAGACGGGAGGTTCCAGATGTAAAAGCAGATTCAGTTTGAGCGCTTCTTGGATGGAGACAGACAGTATTTTATTGCGGCTCATCATTGCGCCACACCGGCAAAGGGATTAAAATCAGCTCATCTACCCAGTCGTCATCATTCAATCACTGCTGACCAGAACACAGCTGGAGCCAATAACTACCTGTGACTACTGCAGAGTCATGTCCCAGGAATGAATGTCGATTGTAACCTTTACCATTATACCAAAGCCAAATGTTAGTAGTTTTTTGTTCAGTGGGACTTTACAGATTCACACAATGCAGTTTGGTTAGATTAATGCCCCCGTTTTATTCCAATTCAGGCACTACTTATTGCACAAGAAAACTTTGCAGACAGCTACGGTAGGTGAGGCAGGTCAAATTTGAACCAGGGGGTAAAGTGTGATGGGACAGTTTGGGTGATTATTTTGTTGTTTGACCTCATTTTCTCTTCCAAATAACTTTGGCTGCTTCAGGTGTTTGTTAAGAAGCTTTGTGAGTAACTAGCTGCTTGTGTTTTATTTCTCATTTGACTTTAAGTTTTAGTGATGATACAGCTATCATAGATCTCAGCAGTGGACTGATTACAGTTGCAATAAACAACTTTTTTGTGAAATGAGGGATCATTACCAACACTTTGGGTTGATGTTGTTCAGATAATCTGGCTACGCTGCCGGTTTGTTAACACCTGTCTTACCGAAATTTTCCTTTAGATGACAAGACAAGATATTACAGAGGTGATAATATTTAAAGACACAAACAGAATAATGCAAGGCCCTCACACACACACACACACACACACACACACACACACACACACACACACAGAAGTAGGGGTTCACAGCGTCACTACAGAAGGATCTTTGTTCTCAGGGTGAGATACGAACACCGCTGTGAGACTCTCTCTTCACATGTGTGCACGTTTGTGCTTGTGTTCTCACACACACCCACACACACACACACACACACACACACACACACCAGGTCCAGTGTTTTGGTTTCCTGGCTGCCCTATTGTACCCTGGCAGTCTTTAATAAATGGTCCTCTGTGTATTTGTGAGCGTGTGTGAGTGTGTAGACTCATCTGTCAGCCCTCCTGGCCTCTTGTCACATCCAGCGTTTCCTTCGCCCCGCTGACACTACTCAGCGCTACTGATCACCCGCCATCACCTTCACTCCTCTAGGGATCTGTGGCATGAAACTCAAGACACACACACTCCATGTATTTTCTTTCAATTGTGCATGCGGCCTGCACAAACTAACATCACGGTGTGTGTGTCTTGTTTTTGATTCACTCTCATATGGCCATGATGGGGGTTGCTTCCCTCAGACTCCCCAGCGCTGCAGCTCCATCACAGCCCCACAAGGGAGCCTGATAGGCAGGCAGAGAGCGAGATGGGCTCCCCATCCCCCTCCAGGCAGCGACTGGCTAGGCTGAAGGGTCCCAGCACCAGACCCCCTTTCATAGCCCTGAATGGACTTGCCTTATTTATATTCACACTCTGTCACACAGGGGGACCCCAATCTCACAATGCCACTGTGGCTTTGTCCGGCAACTCTGTATTTATGTGTGTGTGTGTGTGTGTGTGTGTGTGAGTTTGTGTGTGCGCACGGGTATTTGTGTTGTTTAATCGGAGGGCATGTTGCCGCTGTGTAGTCTGTGCATGAGAATTCATTGCTGTGTGTGTGTGTGTGTGTGTGTGTGTGTGTGTGTGTGTGTGTCTATAGCTCTAATGGAATGCCTCCCTCCTCTATTCACCGAACCCACATCACAAGCAGGCAGCTGGGCGATATAGTGTGATTGTATGTGTGTGTGTGTAGGTGTGTGTGTGTTTGTGTGTGTTCCGACCCTCCCTCTGTGTTCAGTTGTAACCCAGAGCAGAGCTTTCATTTTCCTGTCATAACGTGTATTGATTTCCCTCAGCCTTGCAGCAACACACACACACACACACACACGCACACACGCACACACACAGATATCCGATGATCCTTAAAGTTGCACACACATGCGCACATTCATATGCTCTTGTACACACACATTTCGCGTGCACACATACATAGTTTGTCTCTGCCGGATAAGGAACATTGTGTTCAAAAGCTGCCTTGTTGGAGTGAGATTACTTCTCACGTATGGTCGCCACTTTTGCAATCACACACTCGCAGGTGCACACACACACCATCACATACTCTTTTTGACATAAAACAGTAAATACGGCTGATTGCTAAATTAATCTTCCACGTCACTGCAGCCCCTCGTGCCCGGCTTTGCTTGGGAGAAAGTGATCACTCTCGCCTTCCTTAGTGTTTTCTCATTTTCCCTGCCGTACCCTCTCTGCTCCTCTCGTACCTATCTTCACCCCCCTCCCCTACCTAACCACCTCCAACTCTATTTGTATTGTAATTGCCTTGGTAAACAGCACCACTTTGGCACTGAAGCAGCTCTGATAGCTTGTGTTTGGGATGCATTAAGAGTGGCGATGCAGACACCATGAGTGTGTGTGCATGTGTGTGTTTGTTTGCGTGTCTGGCAGCAATTGAGTAGTGTGCGTCACATAGCATCCCCTCCGTATGCTCAGTTTTTTTAGACAAGCAACCGTCTCGGTCGATTCTTCTGTTTATCAGACATGATTTGTTCGAGTTTAGCTTTTCATTTTCAGTGCAGATTTAAAGACATCACAGAAATGCAGCATTATCACCAGCCCCAGACGTATTTACAGATAGTTACTGTAAATCCTAATATTTCACAGCTTTATTAACCCAATCTGAAAGTGGCTAAGTTTATTAATATCATGATCCCTACAAGTTTCCACAGAGTTACAGGACACAGCTTCTCTTGGAGTTTTTCACCTTTTTGTAGTTATCCAGAAAAGTGAGCTGGATAAAAGTTTGTAAGAAAACAGGCCCCACGCCTCTTTCCTTCCTAAATTTTTTCTTGCACCTTCGGTCTTCTAAATTGACAGATGCAAACAAATTCAGCAAGACTTTAAGTGTTTATTTGAGTATTAGTAGAGAGACAACAATCAGTGGAGAGAAATGGGAAACAACATGCAACAAAACTCCACAGTGGGACTCAATCTGAGGACACTGCAGTTGAGGCTCCTTAAACCCCTCAAAAACCTCCTTTTAAATACCTTATTTTACAGTGTAGCAAAAATTATGTCATTTATATATCTTGTCTCTGCAGTGCAGTATGTGGTAGATGGACAGATACCATGTCAAATCTGTAGTTGACATGGCAAACTAAAACTGGAATCTGGGTGTTCAGGATCACCGCAGATTTCATTATCGCTCTCAAAGCTTTTGAATAAACTTATAGTATCAAGTAAATGTTGATGTCTGTCAGTCAGTACGTTTACATGCAGATTGAGAAAATCAAATTATTGGCTTCGTCCGACTGAAACCAGACTTTTAAATGCATGTAAAGAGCTTAGTCCAACTGAAATTGGACTATCCGTAGCTCAACTAACACACCTAGATAATTTGATTGAAAATCAAACTATTGCTGCATGTATCCACTTAGTCCGACTCGAGTCGGACTCGGCGTTCTGCGCATTCACCACTTTTTCTTTTGTGGGCTTTTGATGAAGAAGGAGATGGCGTAGCAGCAGTGCAGTAACTCCCAGAAAAACAAACAAACAAACACCATGGTGACCGAGAAGCAGAAGACGCACTTCTGGACAGATGAGGAAACTACATTAATGCTTCGACAGCTAAAGGAGCTAAACATTTTGAAGTTTATGGATGGTATGAAAACATGAAACACGGATTTATTAAAAAAAAAGTTTCTGAACAAGAACCGGAACTAGTTCAATACGCACTGTATTAAAAAGGACACAGCGCCGCCCATCGAGGCGGACTCCGACGTACTTGGTCAGAAATGAGATTTTCTCTTCTGCATGTATACTCAGACAAGACGAGAAGTCCGACTTGACTGATTAACTGAGCTATGAGCTTAGCTCGACTACTGCGTGCATGTAAACGTACTGAGTGTCTCATGTGTGTTTGTCTACTTTCTCTCCGCAGTAAGACGATCATCTCATTCCCTGGCCACTGACATGTTTGAGCAGCACCTAGGGGCGCACCTCCTGCAGGTAACAACCACAGCACCTACACTTTCCTCCTCCTTCTTCTTCTGTGATAATTATTATGCAACTTCATATGTTTACATTATGTATTTTAGATGTTTTCACTGTAGTGATTAAACACTATCCTGTCTCCAAAAATGTCAAACTGCCCGTTTTTAACGTTAAATTTTTAGGTAGTCCAGGGAGTTTTATTTAGTATGAGAAGTAGGTAAATTTTAATTTTTTAATTACTCCATTTATCTGAAAAGTTTAAAATATATATAAGGCTTCCTTTGGACAGTTGTGCTTTAATGTTTATGTAGGGAAACTTTTGCTTTTAGGAATGAACCACAAGTCAGTCTGATCCAGGATTTCCGAGCACATTTGTCTCATAAGTGAGTGCATTGTGCCACAGTGTGTCAGTGCTTGCGTGTACACCTCAAATCTTCTTCAAACTCCAATCGCACACTTTCCCAATAGTATGTCTCTGCAGACCCGGAGACTGCAGATTCAGACCCGCAGTTCTGGACCCGCAGTTCTAGACCCCTTGTTTTTCGTCCCCTACTGGACGGCTGTATAACTGCAACTAAATCAGCATCTCACCCAAACACCACTGTTTGAAAGAAGTTGGACTTTTAATGCTTTATTACAATTTACAATTTTAAAATTTTATTACACCAGAATAAAAATACCAAGATTTAATTGTTGATTTATGCCTGGGTGCTGTTCTGCATCATTATTGTTTGCTGGTTGTTCTGTATGGTTTGATCCAACTATTTCTTAATATTCATCAGACTGCTCTGACTAGCACGCCAAAAACTTGCACTGCATTGATCAAACCCGCTACAACATATAATAGGAAATGTCTGGTCTTGGGTGTCCAGTACTCACTTTTGTTGTGGGAATTTGAAACAAAGGCTGTGAAATACTGAAATGGTTTGAAATGTTTTATTGTGTGCAGTGGTTACATCACACATCAGGGAGATCTGCAGAGAAAAAAAAAGAAATCAAACATATCACAAAATTGAAAACAGAAACACTTAAAAAAAATTAAATGCCTATCACACTCTACACTGAAATACTGAAGATTCTGGAGCACAGCAAATACATTATTATATCGACATATTAACAATAGTGCCCCTTCCTTCCTCATCTGCCTTTCGATCCTCCACAAAACTCCTCCACTTCACTGTGGTTTCCCCTTTCTGGATTGTTATGTGCACCTTAAAAAGAGAGTCCCTAATTATTCAAAGTTAAGATTTTTCAACCGTTTTACACACATAAACAAGGCCAAAACCTAATAATAGACAAAAATACATTTCTGATCATCTGCGCTGGATGAGCTTAATTTCTATCCACAAAATCTCATCTCTAAATATATGCTATAGAGTAATATCAATGTAGTGATATAAACACGTGATATATAATATTATGAATAATAAAGGAAAAACGTGTGTAGGTGTATTACATGATAAACATGAATACAAAATTAACTTTTAGCATAAAGTACACTAATTGCCAATATGTAAACAGTTTCATGCTTGTATGAAAACGTAAGCCTATACACGTTTTTCTCATATCATCCACTTCATTGCTTTAATCATTTATTCATGTTTAATTTAAAGCACATGCTAAAATTATTCGTCATCGTGCTTCGGTTTCATGAAACAAAATGTGCAGGTCAAACAGTTCATTGCTAACAAGCTAAACTATTACCTACTACTTTAACCCATATTTGACGTGCCTTTCAGACTATCGTGGTAAAGACAGTCATATCATTTTAAACGTATCACTGTAAAACATGAAGTTCGCTCTCTAATTCAAGTCAACAAAATAGTTTAAACAAATAATATGATTCACATTCAATACTCACACTCGGATCGTCGTTGGCCATATTCAATAGTTGTAATAGTATGTTGGCTTCCAATGAAATAGAGGGCGCTGTCGCGAAATACAAGGGATCTAGAACTGCGGGTCCAGATCTGCAGGTCTGAATCTGCAGTCTCCAGGTCTGCAGACACACCCTCCTCTCCCATTCACACACATAGACACCCACACATTTCATATACTTCAGATGCTCGGACGATATCATTGGCTGCCAAAGAATGCCTCCCTGAGCACTGACAGATGAATGGAGCCTGAGGGGGATTCTGGGGCAGGAGGGCTGCAGGGATGACGAAATGCAGGATGTAGAGACAAAGAATCAGAGCTGGTGTGAAGAAGGTAACACTGCAGGTTGTGGTTTAGACCGAGAGGAAGCTGAGGGAGGAAAGATGGTTGGGACTGCAACCAAAGCAGAGAGGGATATAGAAAAACTTGAAGGATCTTAATGCCTTATGTCTTATGTAAAGCACTTTGAATTGCATAGTTGCTGAGAGGTGCTAAACAAATATATTTGCCAAGTAGGAAACAGGTAGGAGTGGGAACAGGTAGAGAGGGGGGGAAAAGAATAGACGCTGAGAATTTAGAAGTGAGAAGGTTGCGGTAAAACAAAGAAACGTTACATATGTCTGCTCTCCTCTGGCATTTTAAAGAGGAAGGGAGGCTTAGGGAACGGCGCTGATAGAAATCAAATTAACGCTCCAGAAAAACTGTATGATTCTTTCCTCCCAGCCGTCCTCCCGCCGTAATAGCCTGATAATTGCACTTTAGTTCTCCGACATTCAGGCGGCTGGTTTCTCCTCGCCGCGACACACGACGCCCCACACCCCGGCCACACATTTGCATACTGGATGTGTCAGTTGCATAAATTACCACTGCCACTTTAAGCACTGGGCCGCCAAAATAGCAATCATTCTTCTAGAGCAAAGTGGCCCTGGTCTGTGTGTGTGTGTGTGTGTGTGTGTGTGTGTGTGTGAGGGGCTCACTCCTGGATGCTTGTTATGACGATTAATATTATTCTCTGAAGCAGTCCTCTCTAATGGCCTGGCTGTATACCTTTCACTTCTCATTAGAATCACTGCAGGCTGTAATGACTCTGGTTCTATCTGTGTCTGTGTCCGAACCGGTGTCTGGGCGGGTGTTTACATGTGTGTGTGTGTGTGTGTGTGTGTGTGTGTGGCCGGAGACACAGGATGAAGCTCTGGTTCTGAGTTTATTACAGTTGATTGAAACAGCTCTGGTCTATAAGCTCAGTTTCTCGTGTCTCTTTGCTCTGTTTTTTTGTGTGAGTTTGTGTGTGTGCTTGTCTAAATGTCTGACTTTGTGTGTGTGTCAGTGTGTATGCGCACACATGTGGCATTTTTGTCTCAGTGCTGCTTTCTGTGTGTTTAGTTATGCAGGCCTTGTTGACAGCTGTTGTGTGTAGCTGCAGCTTGCATCTATGGGACTCGTTTCATGTCTGTTCACATTCATGCGTGTGTGTGTTTGCGTGTGTTTGTGTGTGTGAGCGCCTGTGCTTGTGAATTGAGAGAAGAGGCCACAGGGTGACGGGTTGTTTGTTCTCTAGCTCATTGTAATTTGTTCGATACACACTAATTGCTCTAATTTGTCTGTCTTGTTGTTTCTGTTTGCTGTTATGTGTGTGTCGGTGTGTGTGATGTGTGTGTGTGTTTTTTTTATGTGCACAGTCTCTGGATGGCTTTGTGTTCGTGGTCAGTCAGGAGGGACGTTTCCTCTACATCTCAGAGACAGTTTCTATCTACCTGGGACTCTCACAGGTAAGACGACCTCATTGCACACACACACACGCACACACACACACACACACACACGCTAGAATAATCCTTTGTACACAAGTGCATTTGCACACATGTGCCTATCTTCTGCTTACGCTTTCATATCCCCTCCCAGGAGTGTGTGTGTGTGTTTGTGTGTGAGTGTGAATATCTTTGACTGCACTCTTTGCGCTCATCTCTGGAGTGCAACTCTCACGGGGGCAATGCCGCTCTCTCTCTACGTCTCTCCGCCACCCTCTCTCCCTCTCCAGGTGCTCACCTCTGTTGATTGCCTGTGGCCTCTTGTACTGTGAATGTTAAGTCCTGCCATTTTGCCCAGATGCATAAATAATAACAGTAATTACTGGCCCAGCAATCAAAGTGTCGCCCCAGCGCGCTGGGCCTGTCTAGGGGAACAAATCGATAGGCATCTTAAAAGCCACATTGATTGTAGGGAGGGGGAAAAACACCAAGGGGGATGGGAAGATAGATAGAGACAGCCGGAGAGAGAAAGAGAGGGGGAGGAAAGGAGGAGAGGTGTGATAAGAGAGAGATGTTTGGAAGTAAGGAGAATCGGTACAGCATGAGAGAGAGAGAACGAGGGAAGTTAGTGCTACAATAACAGAAGTCACTGAGTGTTTTTATAAGTGTGGAAATTCGCTCTGATTGAGTGTCTGCCCTTGGCGACATTAAAGGATAAGTTGAGGTTTTTTCCACTCTATCTTTGCACAATACTCACATGCTGTATGTACATTGAAAGAGTCATTGGTCACTGTTATCATTTCCCCTGTCTATACTGGCTGCGAGGCAAAATCCACAGTCCTCACTCTGTAGAAATGCAAGTGGGTATCTGCCAAAGTTACAGTCATTTTAGTGATGACTGTAATGTACGAATACCACATGGGCAGTGCTTCCCTGCCGAGCCATGGCAGAGGGATGCTTTGTGCTGGCCTCATGTAGTTTTGTCTCCAGGACACCACACAGATATTATGTGACAGTAAGGACCCAGTGAATACACACTCAATTTGGTCAACATGTTCTCACTCCCAGCTCGAATATGCAGTTTGATCAGTGGCCCTATGCTTCAAACTATGACGCTCTAGGTATCCCTCTAGCATCAGTTTTGGACACTCAGGGACAGAGTGTCAATTTCCACTTGGTCTTTTCAAAATAAATGACAAGAAAAAACAGGTTTCATCACCAAAGCTATTTTAGGTTTAGGCAACAAAACTGCTAGGTTAGGTTTAGAAAAAAGATCCTGGTTTGGGTTAAAATAAGTCTGTTGGTCAGCCCTGTGATAGTCTGGCGACCTGTCCAGGGTGTACCCCGCCTCTCGCCCAGTGTCAGCTGGGATAGGCTCCAGCCCCTGACAGGATAAGCAGTTAGTTACAGAAATGAATGAATGTTTGTCATGTTTCTTAAGTAAGTTACGATTACATCACATAACCCATGTGTCACATTGTCTACTTAATGTAGTTTAAAGCAGCGGTTCCCAACTGGTGGTTCTCTGGTCCATTCTGAATGGATCACAAGTGACTCGCAAACATGTCTAGTTTGTAAAAAACATTCTTTATTTTTTAGCGAAGAGAATTTCCGGCACACAGCTACTTTTTTTCAGTGCTGTTTCCTGCTGTAGAGTGGGTGACTAACGGACAGCTACTTGACAGAGACAACAAACTAGCTCAATGACATGGCCAAATGCAAGTATGAAGCTGTATGTATTAAACTGTGTTGACCTTGAACTGATAACTATGGAGAAAACTGGACCTCGTGCCAAGATCAGTTGGGAACTACAGGTTTAAAGAAAACCTCAACTTCTCACACAGGACCTGGGGGAAAGCCTTGTGTTTGTTTGACCCATCCTCCACCCAACACTCCCAGCCTACTTGGACTTTCTATGTCTTTATCTATGTCATTGCTGTGGATGGGTTTACACTGGAGTTAGTTGAAAGCCTGGTAAATCTCAAACAGATGCTAAAGGTTGCCTTATGCATTGGAGTCAACTGACTCACTGACCAAGCTGTATTTGACGCCCTGGGAATGAGAACGGGCTGGATTTGTCTAACCCAGACTGCTAAAGCCTTGTCTTACTAGCAGCTGAACCTCAGAGTCCTTTTTTAAACATTTACTTTTTGTCTTGTATTTTAATTGATAGTTCAATGTTGAATTTCAGCTGTTAATGTCACCCTTGCAAAACCAGATTGATGTACTGTACACGCCTTATTGTCCTTCAATTATATTTCCCACTGTAAACCTCAGTTCAGACCAATGATTTGCGATTAGACGAAGACATTTTAGAACATTGCTAAGAAAAGTTGCAGCAATGTGAAATGGTCAGTTCACTCAAGCCGGCTGATGGTGTCACCTGCAACTCACCTGATCAAATCACTGCCGGCTTGTTTTCAAACATAAGACATGGCACCTGTTTCAACAACCAATCGGCTTGTAGTAAAGTCAGAAGACGCAGACAGCATGTTACCCACCGAGCCCTCTGTTTCCCTGCGTGTGCCCGCATTGGACGGTGGGTCGCTGCTGCTGCTTGCTGTGCTTTTCTCATTCTCATTGACTGATTAATTGGCCCTAATTATTGTGGCATATTTATTATGAATACAGTCCATCTGATACTCATGTTATGTTTTTCGCTGTTTCATCACTACTACAAATGCAGCGGTAGCCAGTATCTCACTATCACTATCCTCATTCATATTTTAAGACACTACAAATTATATTCAGCCACAAAATAAGCATGAGAAGCTGACTGGAATCACAGAGATTTATTACATAAAGATGATACAGAGTCTCATCTAGGTGCATCGGTGTAAACCGGCGCATTGCAAGTAGCTGCCTGTTTCAAATCGTCTCGTCGTGAATCCTTGGTCTGACCTGGGCTTAACTGTGTTGCATGGAAGGTTTGCATTTCGTCATTACTGAAGAGGAGACTCTTGCAAGTGCTCCTACTTGTAATCCCCATTTTTACATTGTTTCATTCACTATGATGCAGAGCAGAAATCGCTGAGTGCGAGTTTGCATTGGAGATTCCTTTCCTCAAATTCCTGACAGAGTAACTAATGCTGAAAATATTTTGCTGTCCTTTATGAGTTGAATGTTTCAATCCTGTTTAATCTCTGACCACACCCACTACCAGTGGTAATAATTTCATTGTATGCTTTAAGTTACTTTTCCAAACAAGTTGGGTTTTTTTCAGAGATAACCCACTGTCATTGGGTGTGGTCAGAGATGTGCCTTGTCATAGCCACACCCGACAGTGAGAACCTGGAGTACACCTGTGCAGCACGACAGGAAGGTGAAAAGTTAAACATAGGCAGTCAGAGAAAAATAAGACTTTCAGGGGGTGGTAAGTTACTCTTTAATGTTTTATCCACTATCAACATTCTCCAGGGGTATAAGAAACTTGTAGGAGAAAACACAAGCAGTTTCTGAAAACTCCATGTGGTATATTTGTAGTCGCCATCGCTCTGACGTGCAGTTACATTTTTGAGGAGCTACATGTATAGGCTCCTTCTTAAAACAAGCCACATTAGGAGGAGATCTCTTCACAGCCAGTAAGGAGAGGATAATAACTCTTTCATGTACACAGGGGCATGTGAGTATTGCATTTGTATGACAGCTTTGAAAAAATCCGATCCTGTTTGGATGGAGAGGCCAGGACAAGAGTTGTTGGCACCTGAGTTTATTGGGCCCTGTCTTTGCAAAGACAAATACATAAGGAAGATAAAGTGGTGGAGGCCTGGAGACAGAGCAAAAAGGAAGATAGAGAGAGACAGAGAGAAACATAGAGAACCAGACAGACAATTACGTGCGAGAAAGAAAACAAAGGAGTGGAATAGGGGAGCGAATGAGAGACAGTGGTAAAGAGAAGAGAGAGAGTCTGAGTGTGTAAATAGAGTTTAAATGTGCAGTAGGAATGAAATTCGCCTTGGGATTGCCTAGGTAAACAAGACAGCCGAGGCTTTGGTGGAGATGCTAATAAAACAGAGCTGTTCTTATCAGCTGAGCAGATGGCCTAACCCATCACATCTACTCAAACAGGGCCCGAGCCATCAGCATTCTAATGAAATTATTTATGATCGAAGATTACGTTCAAAACCTTGAACATACAACGCCACGTTTACCTTCCTGAAAAGATGAGAGCAGGCGGGGATGGAGGGGGTTTATGATGAGAAAGAGAGACAGCCAGAAAGGGCAGATAGAGTTAGGACTTGGGATGAGTTAGGGGGCTACGTCGGGGGGGTATATAGTGTGTTTATGGACACATGCGACGAGAAAGAGAAAGATACAAGAGGAGTGAGAGGAGAGGTGGGAGGGAGGGAGAGGACAAAAACACTTCGATATACTTTGTTGGCGAGTGGAGGCGGACACAGGGGAGAGAGGAAGGACAGACAAACAAACGATGTTCTGAGTGGAAAAGTGTAACTGGTGGTTTGTTTTAGAGGGCATGTCGCCCCTGTAGACCGCCCCTGCCCTGCCGTCTCCTGTCCCCCCTGTCTGACCCCTCTGCCCTAGCTTACACCCTGGGCTTCTCCCCTGACAGGGGGGTTGCTTAGCTGGCTTAGCCCAGGTCAAGCACCTTGACCAAGGGCACAGCCCGCCGCCCACTCCCCTGGTGCCTGCAGGTATCATTTTTCTTCTCACTGGGTCTCTGGGCCGGAAGCACGGGGATAAACCTGGGAATGCCACAAAGCAGATGAGGGGAGGGGGGTGAGGAGGAAGTAGACGAGGAAAGAGAAGGATTGATGGAGTAGAGGAAGGGGAGACAAAGGCTGGAGAAGATGAAGAATTGGAGGGAGGAGAGGTGGAAGGGATGGAGAAGTAAGGAGAAGGGGCTGGGAGGAGAAAGAAAAGGGATAAATGGGGTAAAGAGAAGGGAGGAAGGATGGTGGATTAAGGGAGGAGAGAATTGATCTGGGAATGGTTAGTATGCAGCCCCCGCTCCCCCTCCCCCCCTCTCCCCCTCCCTCCCTCTCTCCTCTCCCATCAGTCAGTGAGGGCTGAGGGCTGAGAGTGTGTTGTGGACCACTGCCCGGATGCCTCATACATATTAAAGCCCCCTGCTATTATTTATATCATGTCTCTCCTTCCCCTGCTTGCTGCCCTCCTCCTCCCCCCTCATCCCCACCACACCGCCATACATACATGCACGTACATGTCTGCGCACACACACGCGCGCACACACACACGCATACACACACACACACACACACACACACAGGTTCACGCAGGTGCACTGACAGACAACTACTCACACAAACAATGACACACAATGACGCGTGGAGACACAAAAACAGACAGTCTAGTCACATACACAGAGAAACAGAGGCGCACCGTGTGCTTGCATACGCACAAACACACAAACACACACACACACACACACACTCAGGGAGATTTGAATGATCTCGGTCTCTCCTCACGTCTTCCCTTCGCGCCACATTCTATACCTGTTTTTATGTCTGAGCCTGACTCATCCTCTCAATCGCTCCGTCTCTTTCTCATCTTCTCATTTCTGTCTGATCTTTTTTCAATCCCTCCCTCCTGTCTGTGATGGAGTGATATTATTCGGATAGGTCTTAAGCCCGATAAAGCCCATAAGGACCTGTTTGTCTCTCTACCTTGTTTTCCAATACCACAGGGCCAGGGGATTGTGTCTCTTTCAGATGGCTGGTCCAGTGTTCTGAGCGGAGGTAAATTTAGTACTTGTTTAAAAAACGACAAGAATTCCCTTTGCAGAGGAATCGCTTTTCATAAAACACAGAAGCCCTGACTGCAGATAGACGGACAGACAGAGAGACAGACATATCTTAATATAATCACTAATAAAAGATGCCTAAAGCAGTGTTCATCCAGAGTTTTACAAACCAACCCCAGTCCGTCTACTCGTCAAATACCCAGCCTCTTAATGCATAGATGCAAAATCTTAATTTTTAAACATTAATGAACGAGTCAGTTTTGATGTCAGAATCAAAAGGAATGCGGCAGAAAAATCCAGCACCTAGTAATTACACTGCTGACGTTATGGTATCTGCATAATGAAGAGAAGAGGGATCAGAAAAAGAAAAAAAAGCCACTTATCCTGAAGATTTAGGGTGTTAAGCTTTCTACGTCACCTCCTTAACACACAGGATTTTTATTTTTATGCCCTTTAACATTATGGATCAATACATGTGTATTTAAATAAGAAAATAATTTGCAAATGCACTTTTTCTCAAGAGTCATAGCTCTGATTTTGCCCTTTTTCCTTATGATTAGCTTTGATTATTGATGCTATCTGTTAATAACTGCCAAAGCACCTTAATGCAACTTAAAGCAGCTTTGGTCAAAAATCTTTTATCATAATCAAAAAAAAAAAGAGTCGCTCGTAGTGATGAACCTACAGAGAATTATCACTCAAATCTGCAGCTCCTCTCTGCATTATAAAGATTTGTAGTCAGTTGGTTGTCGTTTAGCTGTCCGACCACAACTTTACTGTTTTGGTTTACTCTCATCACTTTTATGCCGTCATTTTCAAGGACAAAGCTCCAACAACCCAGCGACTAAAGGCTCAGACACACTAAACCAAGGCTGAAGAACTAGTGGCGACGAAGGCCGACTGTTGCCTCATGTCGCCTGTGTCACTGACAGAAAGTTACACTGAAGACTACAGCCAACAGCCAACTAGCACATACGTTCTGCACCTCCATGAGAGGGAATAACTCTCCATACCAGCAGGCAGCAGTCGTCTTTATTTGTTATTCAAAAAGGGAAGCTGGAAGTCGGACAGGACAAATTCTAGACGCTAGTTAGCAAGTTAACACAATGTTAAAAGACCAAATGATGGGGCGTCGGTGGCTTAGTGAATAGAGCAGGCGCCCCATGTACAAGGCTGTTGCCGCAGCGGCCCGGGTTCGACTCCAGCCTGTGGCCCTTTGCTGCATGTCACTCCCTCTCTCTCTCTCCCCCCTTCACACTTGTCTGTCCTATACATTAAAGGCTAAAAAGCCCAAAAAATATCTTAAAAAAAAAAAAGACCAAATGATATTTACTGTGCGCCAGCTAACAATAGCACAAATAATTACAAACCATTTCTGCTGAAGAGCTCAGTGACCAAAAACATAGTCTTACTTGATATAGCAAATTTGTTTTGATGTCACGTCCTCTTTATTTTAGCTGTTTGTTCTCTTTCCTCACTTCCATTTCTCTTCCCGTCCACTGAGCCGATCTGCCAATCAGAGTGATTTCATTCACCGACTAGCTCTGCCGTCTCCAACGCTAATTCAACGTGCTGCTGGGCCAAAATAAAAGGTGACAAGGGGCGACAAGGCCCAACCGTACGGGACATTCCACAAAAACTTTGGCAACAAATGCTCACCTACAGCCGGACATTAACCAACACCCAACTGTCAGCTTGGTGTATCAGGGCCCTTAGATTCACCAGGTGGCCAGGGACACAACTCCAAATAAAAAATGATGTTGCTCCGTAACTGCTGGATGTTTAAATAAGCAACAGTTTGCTAACAAGTTGCAACTTACAAGGTGTTGATCATTACATGTCTCTGCTGCCGACAAATGCCCAAAAAAATCTCTTATTGCAGGTTTAAAGTAACAGTGAAACCAAAATCAGAGCATCTTTATCTTTTCTAATGTAACAAGTGAAACAGAATATGTGAGCAGGGTATAGGTACAAAAGGAACTTTAAATCAAATCCTGCCTATGTGATTGTATCGCTCAAAACAGAGCCTGTCTTTATCAATGTGGCACTTAAAGCAGTTTTATGTGATGGATGGGGTTAGTTACAGTCACTTCAAATCACACTTGACTTGATATATTTCCGTAACGCCAGAGTAATCAATAACATTTTTAGGTTTTATAGGAAGATTTCTTGTATTTCTTTAACACATATTAAGCATGTAACAAGAGATGACTGAACAGTGAACACAGGGAGATGGGATTAAATATTCACTGTGTCTTTACACTGGTATAAAGACTTACAGTATGCCTTCTCTGCCCAGTATTTGAATTGATGAGGCCTTTAAAACATCTTTTCTTCACTGCTACTATCAAATAAAGGAGAAAAAAATAAATCTTTTTTATATTTTGGCTGAAACAAATATCAAAATAGGCACATATAGTCTGACAGTAGCACATTTCAGTATGTAGTGAAATATAAATACTTATGGCGCCTATCAAATCTAGTATTTAATTATATGTTTGGTGGCAAATGTCCAAAAAAACCCCCACAGGACATCCCTCAAGGGATTAAGCCCTGCATGTCTGGGACTAAGAACCTCTATCCCTTCACTTATCCTCCCTCACTCGGCGGGGTTTCCTCCATCTTTACCCCTCTCCGTTCACTCATCGTCCACCTCATTCCTCCGCTCCCGCCTTCCCCCGTTCCCGCTCCTTCCTTTCCCCCGGCTGTGATGTCCTTGAGGGCCTGCTGAAGCTCCCATAAAGCCTGCAGTAAATGGCTCTAATCCGGTAATAAATGGCTGTGTCCTACAGACAAGGGTGTGAGGCTGCTGCAGCCATGGCTTTATCAGATGGAATGATATTGGCACACACATGCACAGACGCACACGCACATTCACAGATGTAATAGGAGCTGCATGCATGTGTGGAAGCATGCATACTCTCTCTCTCTCTGTCTCTCTCTGTCTCACACACACACACACACACACACACACACACACTCATTTATACAGCTTCAGATGGAATCACACCTGCTCCGATTGTGCTGCTTTTATGGATGCCATGCAAGAGCAGCGCCATTATTACCTTTAAATGATTAGAGATGCGACTATGATGCATTATGATGATAGGATCATATAGAGCTGTATGAGCTGTTGCGTCGCTCTTTATGCCTGCAGGGATAGACTGCAACTGAATGAAGGAGCAGGGAGGGACACGGGGAATAAGAAGAATAGTAATGTGACCTTTGGAGATACTTGGAGTTCACCTGTTTTTAATCAGCAAATACAATTGATTTTTATCTCCCCTGGTTTTATTTGTGTAATACTGTAGTCGCTTGGTCCTCTGAGACTGGACTTAAATGTATGTGCATGAGTGTGTGTGGGAATGTCTTACAACCTCCACACTCCTTGTTGAGTTGTAACCCAGAGCAGTGCTTTCATTTTCCTGTCATAACGTATATTGATTTTTTTCTGTGTGTGTGTGTGTGTTGGGGGGGCTCATGTGCAGGCATTTGCGCTCTAAGCTTCTTTTTTTTTTGATCAGCGTATGTGTTTCCCTTCAGGTGGAGCTGACTGGCAGCAGCGTGTTTGACTACATCCACCCAGCGGACCACGTCGAGATGGCAGAGCGGCTGGGAATCAGGCCGCATCTAAGAGCCGAGGCCGGCTGCCACACGGGTCCCGAGAGCGCCTCCAGCTCCGCGTCCACCTCCTCCCTGGCTGGTACCCCTGAACCCGGTACTGATTACACTGTCAATTTGTATTTATATCCGTTACATTTGCATCACAAAAACAACAAAAATAATTGAATATATGAGATCCTGTAGGTTGGATATATTTTTATATTTTACCCTCTTCCTCTCTCATCCTCCACAGCTCCGTCTAGTCCTCATTCTCCTGCTGATGATCCTCCCGACCGCGGCTTCTTCATCCGCATGAAATCCACACTCACCAAAAGAGGCCTGCACGTCAAGTCGTCTGGATACAAGGTACAAATGTCTGAGGAAATAAGTCCTCCTAATTTGGAAACACACCTTGTATTTTGCTTTCTTTCCCATTTACACGCTTGTTCTCGGTGACAGTAAAATAACAAGCAGAGCCTTGTCATTTTGTTTTGCACGGCCAGTGTTTCATAGCACTGTCAAGGTGGTCGTTTTCAGTGTGTTTTATGGTTGTGACCTTATTTCACACTGGACCGCTGCACATAACAGACGCTTTACTGCACTCACTGCTGTAATACCAGAGCTGCTGCATTCTTTAGCTTAGATTTGTCTTTGTGTTGTGTTTATGTGAAACTTATATTGATGAATGTTTTATTTCCTCTGTGTGTTACTGTTATTATCCACACCCTGGATTGTGTAGCTGTCCTGTGATTCTAAAAATGTCTTGTGTGAAGGGAATACATGCTGATGTCTTTGACAGGTAATCCATGTGACAGGACGAATCCGCTGCCGCCCTGCACTTGTGCCGGGCTCCGCTCGCTCAGTGCGTCGACCGATGGGTCTGGTTGCGCTGGCACACACCCTCCCGCCCACCACGCTTAATGAAGTCCGCATGGAGAGTCAAATGTTTGTCTTCCGCGTCAACATGGACCTCCAGGTCACATATTGTGAGAACAGGTGAGGATTGTGTCTAGATGTTGAAATTTAATAGTGTGGACGTTGAATACACACAAATAATTTTTGTTGTTTTTACAGGATCTCAGAGTATATGGATATGACCCCAGCAGAGGTGGTGGGACACACCTGTTACCACTTCATCCACGTAGAAGACCTGGAAAACCTGCGGCAGAGCCATGAGGACTGTGAGTCGCATCATATGTAGTGTATGGAATTCATCCCCACCCTGTTATCCTACACAGTGCCTGAAGTTGGGGGGAGAAGCCTGTTGAAAACTCATTCTGTCCTGTTGTGATAGGCGCCCTCTGCTGCCATCATCATGAACTGCCAAACCACTAACAGGCTCCTTCTCTGTCTTCTCTCCCGTGTCCTGTTATACATTCTTTTTTTCCGTCTCCACCCAGTGCTGAGGAAAGGCCAGGTGGTGACCGGCTACTACCGCTGGCTCCAGAGACGAGGAGGCTACCTGTGGATCCAGTCCACTGCCACCGTCTCCATCAACCACAAAGCGCCCCATGAACGCAACGTCATTTGGGTCAACTACGTCCTGAGGTCAGTGCAGCCACAGTGTGCGTTCCAGGACTGCTGATATGAACCAAGTTTATATTTGCAGGCGCCATACTGTGCACAGAGATGCTTTGAAGGGATAGATGATGAAATACAGAGGGATTATTGGAAGAGATTCACTCTCTCCAACATATGAGGATACTTGCTGCAGATAGTGACATCAAAGCAAAGCACATAATCAGTTATTTGACTTATAAATATTAAAGATAACAAAATTCTATTTTAAATTATAGGATGACAAAAAATAGGTGATTTTATGTTTTATTGATTTTAAATACATTTTAGATTTATTATTAATATTATTATTATTTTAGATATTTTACCCCCAATTTAGATTATAGTTAGTGAATCTGCTTTTATTTACTTGACTGGACTATTTGTCCAGTTATAATGACTATTAAAGAAAGCAGATTCTAATCATTTAAATGAGATACTTTAATTGACAAGCTTTCACAGTGCATGCTGCTATAAAGGAGTCTTTCTTAATTAATCACTTTCAATTTTTTGTCAGTTTTTTTAGTCAATTTATTTTATTTATTTTTACATTTTTTTAATTTTATTTATTTGTTTTTTTGTCGCATTTAAAATGATTTATAAAACTTGAAAAAAAAGTCATTACTCTTGCAAAGTCCTGTTCAGCTGTCTGTAAACAGCAAGGCAGCATTACACACACACTATTTAATGTCATTACTCTGAATTGGGCAGACACGACCTTATAGGAAGGCTCTGATCAAGGAAAATTAAAGACTCCGCAGCTTTTTGTTTCTGTTTAACTTTATTATAATTGTCTTTTAAATGCAGCATTACTTTAAGGCTGTATTTATTTACTCCGCAGACACAATGACTGCAGCAACCTCGACAAAATATGCTTTTCCCTTATGTCCCTCTTGTATACACACACTCGCGTATTCGCCCAGACACGGATGCAGTTACACTTGGAGGATACACACACATACGCACATGCACAAACACAGTGCATAACACAGCGGCAGAGCAGTCAGACAAAAACAAGAGGAGTAGGCTGAATTTCAATGCTAATTGGACTCAAGCTATATAATTACAACAAATGGATGTCAGAATTTTGGGGCTGAATGGTGTTTTAGTTAATTAGTGCTGTAATTACAAGAGCTCATTAACTTCTCCAACAGCCTCCTCCTTGTCTGAGCTTAACTGTGTATAGGTGGGCTGCTGAGTGGGGCACAGTGTGTGTGTGTGTGTGTGTGTGTGTGTGTGTGTGTGTGTCTTGAAGGGCGGGGTCTGCCTATCTGTCTGTTTGCGTGTCGCTGCTTGTGTATGTGTGATAAGGGCTGTTGTTTGGAGAATTGGGTGGATGTGTTAGGTGGAGGTTAGAAGGGTTTGAGGCAGTTTGGCTATTGGAGGTTGCTATTAGGCTGATTATATGTTGTTTCCATCTCTAAGTATTCACTCAAATCAGCAGTGCACTAGTGTGTTTTTTTTTTTTTAGAAAGCTGTAAGTGGCTTTTAAGTGGTAGATGATCATTTGTGTATACGTCCACCTTTTCTCCTTTTCCATTTTCACATCCATCATCCATCCATCCATCCAGTCGAACAGAGATGCCCGACACTCCCCTGGATCTACTGCAGCTACCAGAGAATGTACGAGCAGAGCGACTTCGAGTTAGCTCATCCCCCACCGACAGCTCCCCACAGGCCCGAGGTAGGACGCTACACACACATTACTTCCTTCCCGTGATGCCCACTGACACACAGAAACACCTGCCTGTGCCTCTTCTTATCATAAAAAATCTCCCTTCCTCCTCAGGCTCGCAGCCAGTGAAGAGCTCAGTGGGGAAGAGTGACCCCGACACTAAAGGCAGAGAGAAATTCACTGCAGCCACCATCCAATCAGAGGACAGGAGAAAGCGCCTGCTGAGGTCCGACCCCGAGGGCGCTCCTCCCGAAACCCGTCGCAGACTGGAGGAGCTCCGTCACGCAGAAGAGAGTGTATCGGCCTCCTCTGACCTGGCGAGCGAAAGCGAGGGGGAGGAGGAAGAAGAGACAGAGTGGGACCAGGGGGGAGACAGTGACAGATTGAAACAGGAAGACGGCGGGGGAGGAGGTAAACAGAATAGGGGAGGAGACACCCCCACTAGAGGGGAGAGAGGGAGCAGGGTGCACAACGGCCGGGCTGTGATCCAGCAGCTCAAGAGCGTAGTGACCCCGTCTCCCCTGCCTGGCAGCCCCAGCATCAAGACTGAACATGAAGCCCTGACCACCGGGGGGCGTTGGGGGTCACACACACAGACCTCCACCTCTCACACACACACCTCCCAGCCCCAACCCTCACATGCACACACACCCTCCAGCAGCCTCAACGGCGACAGCCCCACCACCCCGATCCCCGACTCTTCTTCCAGCAGTGAAGCCCCCCCAAAAGGGCTGTTCACTCCCCCGTCCCCGGCGCTGTCCCCCGCCATGTCCGTGTCCTCCCCGCTGCCTCGCGAGGACAGAGTTGTGTCGGGGGTAGTCAGTCGGAGCAGTGGCGGTGCAGGTAGTGCTCCTGACTTTGAGCTACTCCAGAGACTGGCTGCAGGCGGTGCAGCGGGGCGGGTCCTCTTCCACCCCCTTGCCCTCGGCCCGCAGGGCCCTCAGAGCCTCTACGCTCCTAGCACTATCCGCTACGCTCCACCTGAGCTGCCCCCCTCCCACCACCACAGCGCAGGACACAGCGATGGCCTGCAGCTACGCTCAGACCACCACAAGGGACCCCCGCCAACCTTCTTCCCCCACCTACAGCGGTTGGCCGGCTTGCCACCCTTCAGTGGTTTCTCCCCGTCTGACAGCCCTTTCTCCTCCGGCCTGCCCTTCTGTATGAATGGACTGAGGGGGGCTGCAGGCTCCGAGGAGGACTGAGACTCAGAAGAGAGGAGGTGAGAGGAGAAGATAAAAATGAAGGACGGAGCAGAGTGACAGACCAGAAAGAGAGACATTGAAAAGGGCAGGAGAGACAGAAGTGGCAGGACATTAAGCCTCTAAGGACGTTACTAATTGGACACTGAGTTGAATAACTGCAATTTTAAAATATGTGACAAGTCACTGCCATCGGGAATTATTGTGTCTGTTGTGGACAAGTGACAGTGACTCTCGGAGAAAACGGGATGTGGAAACTTTTGACTGGTTGTCCCTCAAGACTTTCCGTCTCTACAACAATAATGAACTCTGCTCTGTGTCTTTCTCTCGATGACTGTGTTGATTTCTGTGTCTCTTCCACTCAGAGAAGCCATATTGTATATAGAGACAAAACCATAAAGACCCTCAGCTCACATCCTCCTCACTGTCACTCCAATTAACCCAATTAACCCTAAAGCCAGTAGAAACAGATGGACACTTGTCTGTAGGAACGAAAGCGACTTTGGAATATAAATTTTTATTATTGCAGTATTATACAAATCACCTCTCGCACTGAGATCCAGGTGAGAGGTTGATTAAAGGGTTCTTCCTTAAATCTGATGGAGAAAGCCCTCTGGTGTTTTTGTATTGAGATTCAAAATGATAATAATAAATAAAAAAATCAAGTATTCATCCGTCAGCCATACTTAAAGCACACTGTTGGGACAAAAATATGAACAATAAAGTCCCAGACATTCCATTATATATAAGGGAAGAAAATGCAATGCAGACAGGACGTTATTTCTGTTGTTTGATTATAGAAAGGTCACTTGTTTAACTGAGTATTAATTATAGTATATTCTGTATGATGCTGCGATTGTGTTTGTGTATGAAAGCCATATTCATGTTTTTTTTTATCACCAGATGGAAGGATGGTGTGAAAAAATGTGTCTAGACAGACTAAATAACATTGTTTTATTGGATGTACAATATTATCCAAATACCTTTTTTTTTATTCTTTAAAAAGGATATTTCTGAAAATGTTTTTTTAGGAGGGGAAATGGTGCTGGACACAAGTGTTTGTTATCATTTAAACCTCTGTGTTTTTTTCTGAGCACTTACCGAAATTTGTTCTGGTGTGAACTCAAAGCACTTCATCACTTAGCACTCACTGCGTGATCCTGTTTAAAAAAAAAAAAAGAATAAAAAAAACATGCAAGAGTGGTCACTAATATCATAGCCTGACCACAGTGCAGTCGAGGGGATTAATGGTCATTTAAAAAGGCAGATATATAAACAGACCGCATGTGGTCATTAAAAGACGACCGTCGCAGGTCAATAAAAATTACCAGAATTATTCTGATATTGGTTTCGGTTCAATCCAGTCAACCTGAAATAAAGTTTTAAATTAAAAAGTGGAAATTTTAAAACACTTTAAATTTCTGTTTCGCTCTGATTGATTGGATTTCCTCTCAGGACTGAAAAAAACACTTTTTATATGAAAATAAAAAAACACAATCAGTGCATTTAAATAAAGTGAGTCACAATTTGTTGATTGTCTAAAAGATACTCCAATAAATTCAAAATCTTCATTCCAAATTGTAATATTTAATATCTGAAATGTGACCCCCTTTTAACAAAATGAACACGATTAAAAAATTGTGACAATAATATGATAATTATTAATGATACACACACACACACTCAGATAACTTTTTAGCACTTTGGAATAAAGTTCTGCAAACTTATGTCATGTGATCAAAATACGCCATATGGGAGTTGCTTTTTTTTTGGCTTCCAAATTGAGATTACGGTCGACTGTCTGATCCGAGGGCTCACTTTACGTGGGAATCTCTAACGTTCTGATGTCTGACAGAAAAAAAAGCAGAAGAGACATCTATAATTGTGAAGATCCGACGTGCACTACACACCCACACCGTAGCTGTCACATGCAAATATGTGTGAGTGCACATACTCTCGGGTGTTTAATGGTATAACGTGTGTGTGTGTGTGTGAGATTGAGAGCGTGTGCATCTGCTTGTACAAGTGTGCATGGTTTTTGTTTGTTTGTTTGTTTCTTTTGGTTGAATTAAATAGCTAACCTCCCCCCTTGCCCATCACTGTGAATCTAACGTTATCCTCCCATCTTTGTGAATACTCCGCCCGCTCATCAAATAAAATGAACAAATGTAAAGAGAAAAACAGTGATACAGATGACGATAACAATAAAATATTCCAGTAGAGGAGCACAACTCAAGGCTTTGTCGTTTCTTTCTTGCTTCTATGCTGCACATAAGCACTTAGGAATGTAAGAAATGGGTGAATTTATTTTTTACATAGTCAATTAAGGTTTCATATGTGATTAGATAATGAATTAAATATATAGATAAAGTGGGACACATCATAAGGTAAGCAAGTTAGTTTCACACATTTGCACATAGTAGATTTGTTAGTTATCACTGTGTCAGACGTATAACAGACATTTATGAACAACCTTTTACTATATATATATATATAAGATTAACATATTCAAGTAACACGCAGCCAAGAATAACAAACTCAAGGGACAAATCAGTGGTAGACTAAATATAAAAGACGTCTTGTTGTGTCACTGCAGGTAGTTTTATGTCATCATCAAAGTACGTGGGTGATCTTGCGTATCTCTGAAGTTGACAAACTGCAATAAAAAACACACAATAAAACACAATCATATTGATCCTTTATTAAAAGAAGGGCACTGTGGAGCAGGTGAGAGCGACCCCGGCGTGAGGCAGGACATCACTGGCATGTGATTCAACAAAAATTCATCTGAAATGAACACAAAAGCACGGCGAGTACAGGGATAGCATCTTACTTATCAGAGATTATATGCGGGGCTGCATTACCATGTGTGTACATATGTGTGTGTGTGTGTGTGTGTGTGTGTACATTGGTGGTTTGCTTGTGTGTCTGTGTGTGTATGTGTGTCTCCATGAATTTGCGAGTGTGTGTGTTGTCTGAAGCAGCCCCAGGGAGGGGCTCTGACATTGAAGACGGGTTAAATCCTGTTTTACATTCAAGTGGCAGGCCCTAGTTCATTAGAGTGAGGATCATTCCTCCTCAAGACCAAAGGAAGCGCATACTAAACAAGAGCAGTTGTTGGGGAGAAAATGCCATTGTACGTGCAAAACCGTATGTACTGTATAAGTGGATGTGCTTGCGCTGATGTGCTGGGAGCAGAGCCGCACAATAACCTCTGGTTTCGTCTTTATATCTTCCTTTTCTGAGGAGTACAGTCTTTATATGGAGAAGCAGAGACGTGGCTTGTACAATGCACTGTTTGTGTCAGTGTGCATTTGTGTGTGTGTGAGAGCACGCAAGTCATGACAGCTCTCCTGACTGTCTTCTACTCAGCCTGTCATTGAGTCACCCATATGCCCTCTCTGTCACTGACTTTGATGGCTTATCTTACCCCCTGAATTGGAGTCGCGCTCCCGGGGGAAATACCTTAGCACATGTAAATGCATTTGAAAGAGTAAAAAATATGGGTAGGAATAATAGAGTGAGAGATGGAGGGAGACGCACACAGACAGCTTCCGCCTGACATGGGCTTAGTACACCTCCACAACTCTCTCTTTCCTCCATCCCTCCTCTGCTGCATGTATTTTTTGTCAGTGTTGCCCAACAATCTCCTCTTTTTCCTCTCAGGCAGGAGAAGACCAATCTATACTTAATGCCCTTCTCAAGGCAGATCCTTTGATCCATACACATGGCATTTAACACCTGAGAGCAGATGAGCAATCTGCTCTCAAAATAAGCAGAGGTTATGGCTCCTACTTTCGGGGCTGGGAGTGTAGATGTGCAGCTCAGGTTTCGAGATGTATGAGGTTAGACCTGGACTTGGAGCTGCGGCTGGTGTTGTGGTTTCTGTAGCTGCTCGGGGTCTGGGGTGGATGGTGTTTGTCAGTGAGGGCGCGTCTCCTGCCTCTGGGCGCCCTGCCCTTTAGACGCGCCAGGCCTCAGGAGCCTCCTGCATGCCAAACAGACCTGTGCAGTCAGATGCAGCCGCGGCCGAGAGACGAGGAGAGGAGAGGAGAGGAGGGAGGGGAGGAGAAGCGAACGTGAGGAGGAGTCCAGAAAGAAAGGACTGGAGGGCGAAAGGGTAGAAGAGGATCTGAGGGAGAGAGTGGAGGAGGGAGGAGAGTAGGGGCTCGAGGGGAGGAGGTGGGGTGCTGGTCACACTGCAGCAGCCATCCAGACACACCCTGCATGTGAAACACAACTGCACCGAAACGCCCTGGGAATCGGCGAAGGAGAGGTGGGAGGAGAGGAGAGGAGAGGAGAGGAGAGTGAGAGCGAAGGAGAGGAAGAGAGGGTGACTCTGAGGTGAGTCTCAACAGCAACACTGTGTGTCGATGGCCGCGAGATATCACAGACCTTCGCCCTAACCCAGTCAGTGATAGTTATCACAGACAAAGCCCCCCCATCACCAACACTCCCACACACACACACACACACACACACACACACATGCACACACACAACAGCAACCACATGCTACTCAGCTCAGTTCATATATTCATACATGCTCGCAGATGAGCAGCTCATTATAAAAATTATGCATGTACAGCATGTGTGTGTGGATAGTTTGTACATCTTTTGACTCCCACTGTAGCAAGAGTTTCTACTGACTCTGACAGCACTTAGACATTAAATTGGGCCATGTTTGCATAATCAAAAAAATACAACTTCTTATGAAATATCTGGTTACAAGTGGAGGTCTTTATTTGTGCTGATAATTTGCTGCAATTGATGGTTCTTGATTTGTTTATTTTAAAGATCTAGGAAAGAGATGTTTGCACGTATTTTATTTTTTGAGCGTCGTACCCTTATTGATAGTTCAGCTGAAGATCGACAGGAAAGGTAGAGGAGAGGGAGGATGACATGCAGCAAACCTAACCTGACCGCTGCAAAGGACTCGGCCTCTACAGGACACACACTTTACCAGGAGAACTAGAGAGCGCACACTTTATGTCAATCATCTCTAAGGTTTCTACACCTTGATTGGACTCCACCTGTGCTAAATTCAACTGATTGGACCTGATTTGGAAATGCACACACCTGTCTATGTAAGGTCTCACAGCAATGCATATCAGAGCAAAAACCAAGCCAAGAGGTTGGAGGAACTGCCTGCAGAGCTCAGAGACAGGATTATGTTGGGGCACTGATCTGGAGAAGGCTACAAAAAAGTGCACATTGGAGACTCCCAAAAGCACAGTGGCCTTCATCATTTTTAAATGGAAGAAATTTGGGACCACCAGGACTCTTCCAAGAGCTGGCCGCCTGGACAAACTGAGCTGGAAGAGCTTCAGTAAGAGAGGTGAACAAGAACCTAGTGACATAGGGACAATTCTGTGAATGTCCTTCAGACAGAGCCTGGACTTGAACCCAATCCAACATCTCTGGAGTGACCTGAAAATGTCTGTCCACCAACATTCCTCATCCAGCCTGACATAAAGTAAGAGGACCAGCAGAATCTCCAAATCCAGGTATGCAAAGCTTGTCACATCATAACCAAGAAGACTCAAAGCTGTGGGCTAATGGCTGTCAAAGGTGCTTCAATTAAGTACTGAGCTAAGGGTCTGAATACTGATGTCAGTGTGACATTACAGGGTATTTATCTTTAAGATTTTTAAGAATTTTAAGATATACTATGAAGAGCTTTCCTTTAAAAAACAATGTATCGACTCTCAATCATCCCTTATGACCCACTAGAAGTGTGTGGCTTGTATTTTTGTGCTGAGACTCTGCCCTCTGCCTGTAATTTTCTTATTTTCTTTATGGGCCTGTACCCACACAGCGCTCAGGTGAGGTCAGGGCTCTACTTACAAAAAAGTAGCGCCCAGGTACCAGACCATAAGCAGCAGGGCCGTGCAGAGACCTTTGGAGGGGCAGCTGAAAGTTAAAAAGGGGCACATGGAACAAGACTTTAAAACACCTTATGACGACATAATTTACAGCATAACTAGCTGAATTATAGCAACCTATATTCATAAAGAATGTAACATGAAATCGCATCATACTATATCATTGTCCCCATACCATTTCATCAGGTGGGGACAATGCAAAGCAGAAGTAGCCTGTGTTTTACCTGAAGGGGTATACAGTGTTGCTGTTGAGGGGTTGCTGGGGCTGCTGCTGCTTGAAGTGATAATGGGTTGTGTTGATCTGAGACTGTAGACATTAAAACAAACATGGGAGAGATGGTAGCTGATTAAACAAGTGTTATGTGATAATAACAAGATGCAAAGATTGCCGATCCCCTCATCTGATCTATCAGACTCCACTCGCTGTCCATATGAGAACAAGGCACAATTGACCCTTCGCTAAGCCTCTCCCTTAATCAGTCACTGTCCAATCCTACGTTAGCAACCGTGTGTAGCAACCGAGAGGTCCGTCAAGCTTTCAGCAGAAGCTAATATGCCGAAGCGGCGTGCATACAGTAACATTACCTTCATGTCCGACACCTGATACCCAAAAAGTGTCGAAGGTGGTGTTGAATTTTTCCCCTTCCCCAAGCCCAAGACCCAAGGAAGATATGGCTAAAACAGTGTGGAAGACCACACGAACAGCTGAATCCAGCAAAGATCAATAAAAACACCTACGTTTGTTCCAAGTTAAGATGCTAACTAACGTTAGCTGATGCTAGCTTTGTGTGCTAGCTGCTCTCCCTTTGTCTGCCCCAAGGAGGGAACATAACTCAACATTAACTTAAATTTAAACCATATATTGACTTACCCTGCTGTACAAGAACATTCTTTGTCCTTCACGTGAAGTGTCAACACGTGGGGTGCCTGACACTTGCATTACGACTGGTGAGCTTTTCCCTCTATTTTAATGTTCTCGTGAATTATACTCCACCAGCAGATGATATTATGAATGTAGCTCTCACATGCATATTGAAGACCTATCTGTCGGATTCTCTCTGATATCTCCGAACAGTTTTTCCAGAAATTTGATGTTATTTCCTTTGGAATGTTTCTCACTGATATAGCTGAAAACTCCATATTTCTTATGCTAGGAGCGAAAGCTTGACGGACTTGGCAACAGTAACTAAGGGGGGTGGGGCTTAGCGAAGGGTCAGTTTGCTATTGCATTAATCTATTATTTCATTATTCACACTTGACAACTGTTGCACCTAATAATGATAGAAAAATATTATATAACTAAAACATTGCAATTGTGTTTATTATTGTTGTATTTTATACCCGAATACCTCTGCAATGTAAACAACTGGTACATGTGTTATTCTTACCTGTTGTGCTCTTCACCCAGCTGGTGAGGGATCCACTGCCTTTAGCAGCCTCACGCAGCTCCTTTTGTTTTTCCTTCCACCTCCTCTCCTTATGAGGCATGTCTACACAATGAAATATCATGATTAATAAAAGAAAATCTGATTCCCCAGCGCATGCACACATGCATACACACACACACACACACACATGTTCACACATATTGACTTTTCATTCCTTTTCCAGAAATACTGTATACTATGGCCACAGGTTTGCTCCATGGTGCTGATCCATCTGTCCTCAATTATTCCTAGTGCTATAATAATATAGTGATAATAATAAGAAGAATAAAGTAACAACGTAATCAATATAACATAATGTATTTATGCTTACATTCAATTTGTTTGACTATCCACTTTGCGCAAGGCAGAAAGCTAATTAAATGTTTAAATTGTGCAGATATACATACATATATTTATAGATGTATACGTACACACGATATATTAGTTAAAATGACATTTTTTACTGACATTTTCCTATTTCTTCCTAGTGAGATATTGTTCAGTTTATATAATAATTTTGCTGTTGTAAACATTAACTTTGCTACTGTGAAAGCAATATTTTGTCATATTTAAAATATACATATATTCTAATCCTGTTCTGAATAGAAATACAGTGTGTTTTTTTTTTTTTTTAAATATTGTAATTATAATAGTTCAACATTATGTGACTATGCATATTGCATAGTTTTAGTGAAATATAAGCCCTCCAGAAAGGTGGGGAAAGCCCTGTAAATCATATGTTCTCTAAAATGGTGGACAGAAGTACACTTCGCCCATGACAAAAGAGAGACAGAAACAAGAAGCCGATCATACTCCCCTCCGCCCCCCGCCCTCCTCGGTTAGCTAGCGGCTAATGGCCACTACTTGTCAAGTTAGTAACAGCAGAGTATCTGACTCTGGTAACAGGTAACGTTGCACACAGCATGCTCATTTCACTTAGTAGGTTGCCTTATAATACACCAAACAACGTGCACATGCTGCAAACTCTACTTACCGGCATTTGAAGATAAATAACTCCTGTAAGCTCGTCAGTTCTTCTCCTGCAGAGTTTGCAGCATCCCGGTGTTGTCAGTCGCAGTCAGAGCAGGGAGGGCAAGTGAGGGCACATGAGGGCGTGTCGGGGCCGACCAGGGCACGTCGAGGATGAACAAGGTTAAAGGTCATCATGTAACTGACGGCAGCCAGGTCATTTTATTTAGCTAAATTATTATTAATTACTATTAATTGCTAAATGTTATTGTTAAAGGGCACAGGCAGGCCTACACACACACACACACACACACACACGCACCAAAAAAAAAAAAAAAAAAATGCCTTGACAAAGGGGCACCCTCTGCCCCCCCCTCTGCACGTGACTGATAAGCAGCAGGCATCAATGAGACACAGCCCTGAAAAACTGCAAATGTAGTGAGGCAATATGCCAAAAACAGTGAATCTGGGATCGGCTTTTACTTTCACTTTCGCCGGCCAGTGTGTTTACAAAAAGTAACCAACAATCCTGCAGAGTATACCTTTAAAATCTTAGATTTAAATCTAAAATCTTGTTTTTGCTCTCTCATTTTAAAGTATTCAGTGTGGATGAGGTGGAAAAAATAATAATTTATATGATTTTAGCATAAAACAAAATGAATTTCTGAAAAGTTTATTAATGCACCATGTGTACCCTGTTGACTCCCCCGTCATGTACAACACACACAGTACACTGTAAACGGTAGCTTTATTAAACTCAGAGATCAAGAAACCATCCAGTACTTCCACACAGGAATGCTACATGGCCTGAAAGCATCGTGTCATTTAGTTTGCATTAACACAGATTTATTCAAGATGTAAGCATAATGTAAACTTTAAATAATTAAAGTGTAACTTCACCTCAGGTCTGAGCCTAACTCCACCCACAGCATAATTCTGAAAAATGCGGGCTGATTTTAAAACAGTGGACGGCATGTTGAGCCATTTTCAGCCCATGAATGTGCCATTTGGTAAGAAATGTCAATAATAACACCAGCACTGATGTGTTTCATCACAGCACAGTAATTTTAATTTATTTTACAGCTAATAAAAAAAAACACATTTAAGTGTACAGTACCTCTTATAATTCAGGATGTTATAATTCAGGATGCATTAAATCAGTAGTTCCCAACTGGTGGGTCGCGGTCCAAAACTGGGTTGCAGGTCCATTTTGAATGGGCTCCGAGCAGTGTTAATTTCACTGACAAAAATGACCTTTTTTCCACAATGGAAACCAAACGACAAGCTAAAAAATAGATCTTGGTAAGAAAAACTAAGACGAAATCTGTGTTACATTTTTGTTTGTGGTGGACTATCGGACATTGAAAGCCGAGAACGGCCGTGCCTGCATTTGTCTTCAAATGCTGCATAAGCGACAGGCTAGTTAACTCCAGTAAATAGTCTGCACTGGGATGTTTCACATGCAGCAAAAGCACTCAAACTGGAGCAATGTCAGCTGTTGATACTGAAGAAATGCAAGTTTGTAATTGTGAAGAAATTATTTATAGTTGTGCTAAAAAACTGTCTAAATTACAATTTTGTACAACCTGTCACCTTGATTCTAACTTCTGATACGTACATTAGCCTGACTGGATTAGTTTAAAGATAAAAGATATGGATAGATAGCTAGAGATAGATATATAGATATAGATAGATGTATAGAAAACATGACTAAAAGTTGACTGAAATGTCACGAATATTTGTTGACTAAAACGTTTTGAATTTTCGTTCACTTCAACATTTTGAATTTTCCCTGATTTAAAACTAGAAGGATTAGGACTAGTACGAAGGATGAGAATGACTAAAATGCGACTAAAACCAATAAGCATTTTGGTCTCAAGACAAAATCTAAAATAGCTGTCAAAATTGACACTAGCTGTGTTTCCATCCAAAAGTGATTCGAATCATTGGGAAATGCTCATTAAAAGAAATACGAATCCTGTGTGTTTCCATTAAATGTACGGACTTTGGTGAAAACTACGAACTTGCGCGAGTTTTCCGCAGAACAGGAAACAAAACAAGTTTCGCATTCTTCTTCTTCTACATTTTCTGGCGATTAGCAACCAGTTTGTAAATGCATTACCGCCTTCCCGACCCGGAGTGTGGATATCACCATGGAGAAAGGAGCGCCACGTCAGACTTAATTCGAACATAACTGTTTTCATCCCGTTTTGTGAATCAACGTTTTTTCTTATCAATCAAAACCTGGCTAAAGCGAGCGTATTTTAGTTTGTGCAAATCAGGGGATTTTAATTCAAATTTTGGCGTTTCCATCATAATTTTCCAATGTGATAGGCTACTTCTAGATGCGCATCCAGGCTGATGGAAACATGGCTATAGCTACTGACTGTAAATGGCTCGCAAATCTGTCAAGTTTGTAAAAAAACATTTTTTTACTCTGAAGTGCTGTTCCCTGCTGTAGAGTGAGTGACTAATGGACAGCTACTTGACTGAGACACTGTAAATCAAAAACACGGCCAAACACAAATATCACACTGACTATTAAATTGTGGACCTTGAACTAATGACTCAAGAGAAATACTGACCCATTAATGTTTTTTTTGGGGAGTTTTTCCTTATCCGCTGTGAGGGTCCTAAGGACAGAGGGATATTGTATGCTGTAAAGCCCTGTGAGGCAAATTGTGATTTGTGATATTGGGCTTTATAAATTTGATTGATTGATTGAAATATTGCCCCCATGGCTGGGTCCCTTAGGGACCACTGCACTAAATCAGTAGACCATTTAAATGGCTCCAAACTTTTGGGCCCTGTCACTCTTTAAAATAAAGAGTTGTGGACACCTGAGGTACAATCAGCCAGTATTTCATTAGAAATGCTTATATGAATATTATATTGTCTTATCCTGCCAATCATCTCATAACCCTGAGATGTATTGACCTGTAAAGGCATCATGAATCATAACCTCCAGTTTAGAAACCACTGGTCTGTTTAAATGTGAAAGCAAAAAAAAAAGCACATAGTGAAGTTTTGACTGTCAGATTTCTTCTCACTTTATTACTGTATGTACTGTCGCAGTAGGGTGCACTGAAAGCGGTGCACGCAGAAACAAAAGTAAACAATAGTGAACCCAGATTCCCACACACAAACTCAATTTCAGCTTTTCCATGTGATGAATGTCTTTACATCCATTAAAACAGCAGTTGTTGTGATCACCAGATCGTGATAAACTCACTCAAAAGGTAAAAAGGTTTATGGTTACATTTAGGTACTGTACATGTGGAACAACAACATGGAGCCAAATATATAACCAAATACATATATAGACTAGGGTTACTATGGTGACAAACAAAAACTGACAAAGTGCTATTGCCCTTAGAAGACAAAATAAAAAGAATTACTTCACAGGGTAACTTAAACCTCTGAAAAAAAAATATCCTAAACCCTCATTGATTAAAAAACAAAAAGACCTGAAACATGCACATAGTATGTCCATCACTGTGTATCACAACCAGCGTATTGTATTTCAAGACTTTTCTGAAAACTTCAAGTTGTAAATCACAGTTATGTTGAACAAGATAAGACCAAGAGCCATTGAAATGGCCTTAGAGTGATTGCATACAGTGTTCTCAGTGAGTCTTTGCAGCATGCCTGTGACTGTGAGGATGTAAGTAAAACATGTCACACAGATTGATAACGTAAGTGAAGCAGCTTTGAATAAATCTGATAAGAAATCTTACAAAAAAAGGCTATTTATTTATTCACCAGAAGTGAATGTAGTCAAACTACCAAAATTTCAGCATCTTCCAAAAGATCTAAAAGTCTTTCTTCACCAAAACAATAATCTTTACATCAATAAAACAATGAACAATAGGTCTGTGTCTTCATAGACTCACAGCGCGCGCACACACACACACGCGCACACACACACTCACACGGGAAGCCCTGAATCAAAGCATCACACACACCCTGTCCGTCCGAGATCTCTACTTCTTCGACCCCTTGCCGTCACCGTCCTCACTGTCTTGATGTCTGCTGTCATGGGGGCCACGATAACCCCGGTGCTCGCGCCTCTCGCGGCACTCCCGGCACTCCTCATCATCCTCTCCCTCCTCCTCCTCCCCCTCGTGGATGATCTCCACCTCCAGACGGCCGATGTAGAGGGATACCGCGCAGAGCCAGAAGAGGGCGGCGCTGCCCACCACAGCGCTCTGGAGCAGCAGCGCTGGCACAGACAGCAGCATCATCCTCCGCAAGGCGAAGAGGCTGCCAATGTACGAGGCGCCGCCAAACGACACACACACACCTCCCAGGATGAAGAAGGCTGAGGAAAAACAGATTGACAGGGTATTATTGTGGAGATCCAATTAATTTTGTCACTGTAATTAAATTTTGGATGGAGGCGGACTGGGCCTTAAATTCTCTTAACTATTTGTGTAAAAGTAAAACATAAAATACAATATTTAAATGATTTAAACAGAATATAAGCTCTCATCTCTACTAATGTCCCTATCATTGATCAAGCTGTGTTACTTAATTTTGTTTCCATGGTTTTCAAACATTCCTGTACATCAAACTCAAAGACTAATTAATAATTTAATAAAGGCCTTATAAAAAAATTATACTCAAAACTAGCAAGTGAGGTAACCATGACACTGATACAACTAAATATCAAAGATTTTAGCTTCTTTTTTATGTACTCCTGATTTCAGTCAATTGCAGAAATCCTTGTGAAATTATTTATTTGCTGAGTTAAAAAATAGATTTTAAGGTTCTGTTAGAAATTGATTGAGAACAAAAAGAGCTGAGGTGGTGCACATTCTATAGCTGAATACAAACTCTAGTTATTCTAGTTATTTCATGGACATTCACTGATTTTTAAAGCCTTTTTATTTTTCTTAAATCCAATAGTTTTAAAGAATTTAGGACGAGAGCAACTCTTTGTTACTGAGCCTGAATCACAAGCTACTACTGTTTGTTATTGCACTACCGTAGAGTTTTGGCTACAAGTGTGCTGGTTTGCAGCTCTGTTGTATGTTAAAAAAAAGAAAAAGAAGACTGAATAGTTGGAGCCTGTACCATATCCTGCTTCTCGTCCCACTTCGCTCTGGACAAATGCGATGACTCCGATTCCAGTTGCCAGCAGACCGTTCCTGAACCACGAGAGGAATCCTGCGAAATGGTCAGAGCCAGACATAAACAGATGACACGTTACAGCCTGAGCAGAAATGTGTGCAGAGAGCCAGAATCAGACAAGTTCCACTACTTTAAAACTTGTATATAAAAACTCAATCAATGAGAAAAAACCATATCATAAGCTGTATCCCAATTCCAGACTACATACTATGTCTGTGGTAAAATTAAATATACTCAAAGGTGTCAGTATGCATGATAGAAAACATTTGATTTTTTTGAGTATGAACACTATTGTTCCACAATGAACCTCACAGAGAGAAAATGGAGGAGCTCCTCAAGGCTGCAAAACATTGATGCCAAGTGCAGACATCGATATAAAACAGTTAAAGAACGAGCTTAACCAAAAAAAGTACAACACTGTCAGAAAAAGCGTGCGTTCTCTTTGTAAAGATTAAATAGCAGTAAAGTTCCACGGCTGTGGTGTGATGTCAATGGGTCAACATATTACATAATTTCCTGTTATTACAAAACAGTACATCATCACAATTAGAATGGTAAAAACTAGGGATGGGTCACGATTTTCGAATTTTGAATAGTCGTTTTATTTTTGAAAAATCGATTTTTTTAATGCGACTATTACTATTCGCCGTTTTATTTCCCCCCTTTATTTGACATGCAATTCAGCTCCTAACCGCACGAGGGCAGTATAGGATTGGGATTATTCGAAAAATTGTCGAATAGTTGCCACGATTTTCGAATAGTGTTTTTGCTTGTGCTGCCCATCCCTAGTAAAAACTGTGTATTCAGTATCAGTGTGTCTACAGATATAACCAAGTTACATTTAAGATGTTTTAAGACCTTTTTAATACCACCTAATATGAAATTTAAGACCAAACCTGCAAAGGAAATACACATTATATGTGTGTGAGATTGAA